TTCAGTAGTAGCATCTAGTCTGTGTCACAACAGAGCAGCAAGCTCTACCTGAAGAGCTTCAGCCATAGGCTGTCATCTGGGCCTATAATGTCTCTCAAAGACCTAAGTGTTGAGGTGTGACTGCCCTTGGGAGGTGAGAAGTCTCCATGTCCTCAAGGGTGTTTCTTTGGAGGGGACTGTGTTACCTTACAGGATGAGCTGTTTCACTTCAAGCAAGAGGGCAAAATAATCATAGGATAGAACCCCCAAAGCTATGAACTAAAACTCTTTTGGCTGTTGGTTTTTGTTTTTTCTTGTTTGTTTATTTTGAGACAAGGTTTCACTCTGTAGCTGAGGCTGGGTTTGAACTCATGGCAATCTTCCTGCCTCAGCTTCTTGAGTCTGGAGTTACAATTATGTACCACCACCCTGACTCAACCTCTAATGACAGAAAATTGAAATGGACCATGTGTACTTTTTTAGGACTACTGTTTTAGGTTTTTACTCTAGCTTTGCATCATCATACAGCCATTATGCTAAGTGCCTTAAGCTGATGAGCAGCTGACACACACAGACTTGGTTCAGACACATAAATTATGTCTTTATGGCACCAAAAAATATAGGTGGAAATGTCAAATTAAGGTAACTGACATTCAGATGCTCACATGTTTTTGGAAGACTAACATTTTCTAGTAAAATGTGAGTCAGGGTAGAAATAGAAGACAGAAGAGAGAGAGAGAGAGAGAGAGAGAGAGAGAGAGAGAGAGAGAGAGAGAGAGAGAGAGAGAGAACATAAAAGAGGGATCCATTATTGGTTTGAAGAGAAAACTGAACCTAAAGAAAGGTCTAGAGACCTACAAGACTGCCACTGTGGAAAGGCTACCATAAATGCCCTTCCCGGATAGTGAGATCAACAACTAACTTATCCACCATCATGGAGCCCTCATCTAGTACCTGTTGGAAACAGAAACAAACACCCATACCTAAACACTGAGTTGAACTAGAATCCAGATGCAGACGGAGAGGACAAGACCAGGTTGCAGAAACACATAGAGACAGCTGACCTGAACAAGGAGGAGCTAATGGGCCCCCAGACTGATAGCTGAGAATCCAGCATGGGACTGACTCAGCCCCCCCCCCCGAATATGGGTCCCAGCCATAAGGACTGAGCAGTCTAAGGGACCTCAGACAGTGGAACCAGGATGTATTCCTGGTGCACAAAAGGACCTTGTGAACACATCCCCCATGGAGGGATACTGCCTTTACCTAGAGACAGGAAAGAAGTCCTAGTCCCTACTTCAAATGACAGATTCATATGACCCCACCTGGATGGCATTGCCCTACATGTGGAATTGGGGCAGGGGGATGGGAGGGGAGGATGATCAGGGTGCATGAGAGGGGGCAGAGAGGGTAAAAGGGAGGGAGGGAGGGAAAGAAGGAGGGAGGGGGACATATAAAATAAGAAGAAGAAGAAGAAAGAAGAAGAAGAAGAAGAAGAAGAAGAAGAAGAAGAAGAAGAAGAAAAGAAATCCCATGAAATTCAAAAAATTCATACTAAGAACATGAAAATAAATTGCCACAGAGTCAAATAAAATAGATTAAATTAAAATAAAATGTATGAACTAGCTGGCTGAAAAGTGAAGAAGTAAGTGAATTATGTTTGTCATCAAAAATAATGAGGTAATTTTCAACTCTGAAAGGATTTAGTGATCACTGGTTTTAGTGACTTTTGGAATTATTCTCCATGACCTGTTGGTTCCTTGAAGGTCACTACAGAATCTCCCTTTAAAGCAACAAGAACATTGCTATTAAAAAAATCTAAACACATTAAGTGGGTTAAACAGAGGTAAAGAACAGAAAGAAAGTAACATAGGGTGTGGTGGCACATGCCTACATGTGGGAAGATGAGACAGGAGGATTGTGAGGTCCAGGTCAAACTGGGCTACATGGTGAGGACTTGTTGCTGAGAAACAACCTATGTACACTGTAAATATGTATTACTTACATTGGTTAATAAAGAGCTGACTGGTCTATAGCTAGGCAGGAAGAGATTGGGTGGAAGAACCAGAGTAGGAGGATTCTGGGAAGAAGAAGAGTCTGAGGAGTCTTGGGCCAAATGTAGAGAAAGCAGGATGTGTACAAAATGAGGTAAAAAATCCATGAGCCATGTGGCAGCAAGTAAATAAATAGAAACTGGTTAAGTTGTTTTAGTTAGATAAAAACAAGCCTAAGCTATTGGTTAAATATTTATAATTAATACTAAGTCTCAGTGTGATTATTTGGGAGCTGGCTGGTGGGGCAGAAAACTCCATCTACACCTGGTCTCCAAATAAAACAGATAAAATAAAAATTAAAAATAAAGCAGAACATATTGGGCCAGGTGGGCTGTGGGGAATGTTCATTCTTATGTATAGTGAAAATAACTCCATGCTGATATTCAGATAGAATGCACAGGATATCTACTCTGATAACTTAAAAAGGCATCTTATGTGGATGGATGCTTCATCCTGTTTGCTCATGTTGACTAGTGTGATCGCAGCCACTCAGAAAATGTATTTAGAAATGTTTTCTCATCAGGATTTGATTAAAGCCCACTGCAGATTCTCTCTTGTGTATGGACTATATGGTTATTTACTCTATTGTTCAGCAAACACACTTCTCTGAAAGCCTCTGAGAAGGAGTTTTGTTAGTCACCTTTAAGTTCTTTAATGGTTTATCTGCTTAGGTATTTAATTATCAGTGGTCCTTGCTTTTGCAAGAGCAAACTGAATACACTGTTCAGATTGGCCCCTTATAGTCAGAGTAAGTGAAATTAACTTTTTTTGTTTGCTTGGTTATTTGTTTTTGAGATAGGATCTCACTATATTGCCATGCTGGCCTAGAACTTGATATGTAGACCTAGCTGAACTTAACAGAGATCTATCTGCCTCTGCTTCCTGAGTGCAAGTTAACTGTTAAATAAAGTCAAATGATGATTTTATTATCAAATGCATGGTGGCTTTCTTTGATTTTTCTGGGTGGAGAAAATTGTACTATCCATGTTATGTACGTTCAATTTTTTTGGAAGAAGGGTATTGGGAATGGGTTTTGGGGTCTTGTGCATGTTGAGCTCTGTACTGAGCTATACTCCCTGCCTATAGTTTAAATATTATTTACTTTCAAATGCTAAACAATTGGAGATACATTTCATGTGAGGTGTGGTTGCTTGTAAATCACAGTAAATATATTTTATATCAATATTGTATTGCTTGTAAGCACTAAGAACTACATCTCATATGAATGTGATAAATGACAATTTTTTTAAATAGGCAAAACCTAAATATCATTAAAAGCAGTATTGGCATGCTTTCTGAGATTATCTTGATGATAATGACCTCAAAGTCAATGATTTCTTCATAAAGATGAAATAAGTTTGCTGTAACTTGATTGCATCAACTAAAATAAAGCTCTTGGCTTAAAAACTTGCTTGTATGTTTTATGAGGTTTGAAATAAAAAGAAAATTGATGGACTTAAACCAGCAAATTATTTTGCAATCAATGGCTGCAGTTGTATACTGCTACAAAGCAGATGTGGTCAAATGTTGAGGGAAGTTGGACCAAATTCCCTTCCTGTCCAGTACTGTTGATTAGCTCTATTCATAATGTACTCTTGCTTTCAAAGGAACTGGCCCATAATGACAACTAAGGCTTTTACTTCTTTCAAAGGGTAGAGTGTCAATCGACTGATTATTGACAAGCATCTTGATGGCTCCCACTGTGAAACACAAACATATTCATTATGGGATACAAATTTAATCTCCACAGATATATTAGAGTCCACGTAGATGAACACCAAGTTCAAAGATTATTTTCTTACCAGATCAGTTTTTCGAGAGATGAAAGCAAAAGAAAATAAAGATCGGAGTTGGGGTGTAGCTCAGTGGTGAAGTGCATATTTAGTATGTACAAAGCCCTGGTTCTGATCTCCTGCATGAGAGGAAGAAAAGAGGAGGAAGGAAGGAAGGAGGGAGACAGGAAGGGAGGAAGAGAGGGAAAATTTGGATATCAAATGAAATAAAACTTCAGACTTCATTTGATAACTTTAGTATATATTAGTTCTTGAAGCCATAGGATTTTTTTTTTAATGAATTGACTAATAAGACTTAACAAACATAACACTATTAAGTTGCAGCTAAAATGAGTTTTGTGGGCCAGTCAACCAATCTGAATCAAATGGTAATGAAAAATTTGTTTTTAACAGGCATAAATCTTCTATGATTATTATGAGTGAGTGCTACAGCTCATGAACACATGGGTCTTCTCTGCTATGTTTTTTGAAGCCAACAAAGTTTTTTTTTCCTTAATACTGGGGATGGAGCCTCAGGATCTCATATGTACTATACAAATGCTCCTTCACATGGCCACACCCTGTAAGTTTGAATTTAAACAGAGGTTTTAAAAGTGTGAAGTTTTATCCTCTTGTACTTATATAACAATGACATTTTGTGGGAATTAAAAGTATTTGTGACTTTCTTCTATAATTCTGCACGTTCTCTGAAGTCAAGGATAGTGCTGCATTCATCTTTGCATGGTAAAGGACACCAAGAAAATATATGAGCCTAAATTTTGATATGCTACTTAATTCTAATACTCTCAGAGACACTCAGTATTTTTTTAAAGCAGGCAAAATGATCAATGCATATTAGTATAATTCAGTTTTTAAACTGTTTTAAAAAAGATTTCAAAGCAACATAAAATCATGGTTATCATTACATCTGTGTTAAAACATTACAGGTTTCCATAGATCCTTTCTCCAAGTTTGAGCCTTTTCTCCAGTTGCTGCAGGAGCCCAGCCAAACAGAGGAGGGTTCTATTTAAAAGCTGAAAGTCATTGGCCTACATGAAGAAACTCTCTTCAGGATGATTTTGAATCCCTGCCTTTTTATAGAAGAATTGTACCCATTTCCATCAGTTGTCCTACTGCCTACTGACCTGGACCTAGCACTGAACATGTGTATACATGGTTCTCAGTGTCCACTTACCATTGTGAGACATCCCCACAGCGAGGCACTTCTGAAACCGACAGTACTGGCATTTATTTCTACTTTTTTTGTGGATCCGGCAGTTAAGGTCACACCTATCATAAATTAGCTTCAATCGGATGGTTCTTCGGAAAAAACCCTGCAAAGGGAAATGGAAAATAAACAATTTTTGAGTCTATGTGACCCATGAAAGCAGAGACCTATGGATAAAGACACACTCACTGAATTGGATATCAGAAAAAAATAGATTTGGACTGGGAAGACAGCTCAATCAGGAAAGTGCTTGCCTTGCATGACTGAGGGCCTTAGTACAACCCCCAGGAGCCTTTGTAAAGACGCTGGTCATCATGTGGCATGTGCTTGTCATCCCAGGACTGAAGGGCAGAGACCACTGACTAGCCAGTTTAGTCTAATTGGTGAGACAGTGGGAGACCCTCTCTCAAATATGGTTGACAGTATTCACAAGGATGATACCTGAGGTTGCCCTCTATCATTCACATGTATGCACAACATTTGTACTTGTACCCTATAAATATGCACACCTGTGCACATACATGAACTTATACGTATATTCATAAAACAAAAGGTGGGTTTGTGACACAGTTCTACCATGGGGCCCTGCACAAGTGGCCCTCTGTGGCTTACTGGTCCTTGCTCTAAACCAAAGAACAGAAGGATTCTCTAGGATTCTTTCTCACCTCTTAGGCACTGAGCACATCCCAGTGATGTCATGCAGTGTACCTTGGCTCCACATTTAGTTTTCAGCATGCTTTAAGAAGTGCTCTGGATTTAATGTAATGCATATAAAACACCATGTAATCAGTCCAGTCTCTCAGCAAATCATTCCAGCAGCGTGCCCTAGCCTTCATAATTGCGCTAAGCAGCTTGGCAAAGTTATAGTCATTTCCTTCTGAAGTAAGATCAGGGCCAATAAAAATCCACATGTGGATAACTTTTTGGAATTCTCCATGTTGCAATTTCCTGCAGAATTTGTTTTATTTTATTTTTTTATGTAGTTGAAAGAATCCCCCACCATTGTAGCTTGCAAGCAGAAAGAGATAGCAGGAAATAATATGAGAAGCAATTGGGAAATTCTCAGAAAATCTGCTACTTCAAAATGCAAATTTATCCTTCTGGGGCTAACAGAGTGCTCATCTGAATTAACTACACATTTTGGATGGAACTGCAGAAAATTTAATTGGAGATGTCTTGTAGCTCCAGTGTGTGTGTGTGTGTGTGTGTGTGTGTGTGTGTGTGTGCCCATAGTTTTCTTTCATTTATTGTGATCATCTTCATGAAACTCATTTCTCTCAAATTTATCTGGTCCTGTTACGTAGTAAACAATTTAGAATTGGGTCAGCAAGATGGTTTAGCAGGTAAAATTACCATGTAAACCTAACAACTCAAGTTTGATATTTGGAGGCCATGTTGGAAGAAGCATATGAACCCTTGAAGGTTGTCTTCTGACCTCTACATGAGCACTGTGTTACATGTGCATGTTCACAATCAAACATCATATACAGACAACAATATAAACAAAAATTAAACAAAACCCCATTGAATTAATATTGGCTCTGTTTTAGCATAGATTTTAACTTTCTTCAGAACCCACCTCCCTAGAGCTTTTGTGTATGTTCCCAGTGAGCTACCTCCTTGAACACTCAACAAATAGGCATATTCTACTGCTTTCTCAACATTTCTTACTGGAAAGTTCAATATCTCTTCAACCCAGTGTCCATAAGTGAAGTCCTGCCTGTCCCTATAAGCTCCTTTACTTGTGGCTTTCCCAACCCAGCTGAGGTAACTCCATGCTCTGTTTCTCAAGCCAAAATTTATGAAGTCATCTTGACTTTTTTCTTTTTCTTAAAGTTACTCAATCTCTTTCTTTCCCTCAAGTGGCATAGTATTCCATTATCTGAAATACTTGGGAGCATAAGTACTTTATATTTCAGATTAAAAATAATTCTTCAGAATAGTTGCATATACAAAGTAAGTTATCTTGGTATTAGGGAAACATATGGACCTGAGTCTGTAAATGTTAAATCTGTGTTCTTCCTCATCTCATCTCCTGTGCTGGGACTTCAACTTGGGGCCCTGTGCATGCTAGGAAAGCACTCTAGCACTGATGCACAGCCCCCAGAATGGGGCTCACTGTCTACCTCAGGCTGTCTTAAAACTTATGATATTCTTGCCCTAGTCTCCCAAGTGCTGTGATTGCAAGGCAGGTCCACTATGATCAGTTTATATACAGCTTATAAACAAAGTCTGAAGGTGGTGACAGGGATCAACACAAGGCATTGTACAAGCTAGGCAAGCTATCTCTAAGCTACCGAGCTTTTGCATTTTTAAAGAAAATAGTCTTACTATGTAGCCCAGGCTGACCTTGAACTTAGGTTTCTACAGTTTTGCCCTTTCACGTTCTGGGGTTTTAGATGTGTGCCTCCATGAGTAGGGGAAACATACCTTTAAATGGTTTTTTTTCTTTTTTCTTTTTTTTGGTGAATCCATGTTTTGACTTCCACCTGCTCAGTATTCTCAGTGAGGTCAGCTATGAAAATTTTCACATGACATTATATTGGCACTCAAAAATTTTGGGGACTTGTAGATTTTGTATTCTAGGATTGGGAATCTATCTATCTATCTATCTATCTATCCATCCATCCTTCATTACGAATTTTGGTAACATCTTACCTTCTCAATCAACCTCATCTCTAATTTGATACTGTTGCCTGTCCCTGTATGTGCGCATGTGCCCCGCTTTTGGAACTCTGTCTCTTTACTCTTTATTTTGTCTTGTTTCTAGTAGTATTTGTGACTTTCTAATGTAGCACAGATAATCACCTACCTAAGGGATTAAATACTTAACATGCATACCTAAGTGTTTCTTCTCCATCCCTTTCTCACTCCCCATTTAAAATTGTGAGTTCCATAGGGACAGAGTTGTCTCTTTACCACTGGACACAGCCAGAGCCTACAACATACTTTATTAAAATCTCATGTGCTATTTTATTTCTGTCTGATCATTATCTGAGTTTGTTACAATTTATTAATCTACTCACATGGTAACAGCTGTTTGAATTACTAATGTTTGCTATTATAAGTGCACTTCTATAAGCATTACCAAAAAGTTTTATTTACTTATTGAGGTAAGGTCTTGCTAAGTAGCTAAAGCTGGCTCAAACTTCCAGCAATCCTCCTACCTCAGCCATCTGAGTGCTAGAATTACAGGCATGTGTCTCCATGCTCAGTTCATTGTACACAAATTTATTTACATATATACACATATGCCAGAATTTCTATATTATATGATATGCAAATGGTGTATTTTATGAGATAATGCAAGATTATTTTCCAAAATGGCTATATTTTTATAGCCCCCTAAACTGTTATGAAAATTTGATTCTCTCATTACTACTTAGTCAGTTGTCCTTATGTTTGCTGCCCTCCTCAACCCTTCCCTTGCACCTGTGACTATAGATCCATGACAACTTGCCCAGATATGAGATTGCATTGAGAATCTATTATGTGTAAAATGTAAGTGTGATATCAACATATATTTCCCTGGTTTTTCATTTCCAAGTTTGTAATAGGGTATCTTGTCTAAAATTGAAAATTAGGGATTCTTTATATGTTCTAGATGTCTGTCACATGGGTTGGTAAGTGTCTTCTCTCTGGCTTTATGCTGAAATGCATTTTCTCAGTAATTTGTAAAAGTCTGTGAACATTTCATTTAACTTCTCTTCTTGAGAGATGACAGGTACACCCTTTAACACTTTGAATCTTGTTGTATTTGTGCATCTATTTTGATGGTGAGCTTTCTGTTTCACAGGTTGTTTTTATATATTCTCTTTCTCACTAGCACTCTGTAGGTTTACTACAGTATGCGTATGCATAGATTTTCATTTTCTTATTTCCTTGGTTATGTTTTCTGAATCTGGGTGTTCCTTGCTCGTCTGTTTGGGGATTCCAGTTATATAAATGCTATTCCTTGTGCTTCTGAACTTCTCTTTTGTCCCTATTTATTTACTAATATTGATTGTATATGTAAAAATCAGAATACCAATCAAACAGGCCACGTAAAAACCCAGTTATACTGATGGAAGTAAAAACAAATATTTCTCACTAAAGTTTACTAGTGAGGACTTTTCTGAATTTACTATGATATTGAGTAGTAGAAGCATACTTTTTAACCCTCAACAACACTACCAACTAGCTCTGAGAACTAAATGAGTCTTTAAATCTAGCCAACCCCAGGATGAACACTGCTATCCTTAGCAATGTGGATGTTATCTTTCCCTCTGTGTCCAGGGGTCTGTTTGGCTGCTTCCTTGCATTGGTACCATCCCCCTTTTAAAACAAGGCTTACAGATCTGCTCTATATCCTACCTATATCAGGTCGTTCCAATAACTGCTTTTGGGAGATGGGTATGGTGTCAATAGTAACCTTCCTTCCTTCCTTCCTCTGATAGATGATTGCTTTTGTATGTGGTTTCTGATGTTTTATTTTGAAGTTATCTTTTGACCATAAACTGTGAAAATCCTATAAAGTCTAAACTGGGAATTCCTTCCTTCAAAGAGAAATTGAAGATGCTTCTTCTGAAAGTCCAGGCACCATTGATAATCCTGGATCCATCTAAAAGCCCTCAAACTCAGCTCTTCTCATTTGCTGGATCTGAGCATGCCAGCACAAGCGCCTTCCTACCTCTGTGACCACCTCCCCAGGAAAGCCCTGGTAAGGACTCCATTGTCAGCTTGTTTTGTCTTTGATGTTGTTTTGGAATTTCTGTTACTCCCTATGATATCAGCCATATCCCAAAGAGTATGTCCCATGCAGAATCTGAGGTAATAGAAACCTCTTACCTCTTACAGGGTGGGTCCCAAGGACTATGGCTGTGCCAATACTATGATTAGCAGCAAGTTAATATGTAAAGCTACTCTTCCTGATACATACTAATGAGGAATTTTGATTGCCATAATAATAAAAAAAATTAGCTTGATTCATATGATATATATCAAAAGTGAATATGGAGATTATTTGAAGTCCTTCAATGCTAAAGAATAATCTTCCTGGATATCATTTATGCATTTTAGACAGGTAAAAAAATTTTTTTGAGACAAGGTCTCACTGTGTAGCCCTGG